TTTTCGGTCAGAGCACAAAGAGTATCGGTCAAGGGTGACCGATACAGAGCATATCGATCACCAGTATCGGTCAAGTGTGATCGACACAAACACACCGGATGGATTTCGGTCATATGTGTCGATCACTCCAGACCGATAGGAACCCATTTTGGTCACTGAAGACCAACACAACTGACCGATACTGACCCAGCCCGAACCTATTTTTAATTACATTTATGCCATTACTCTAGGGTTTTCTTCCCTAGACTATAAATATCCCATTTTTCCAGATTTTCGAGAAATCATGTCATTTTACTGTTCTTGAGCACTTTCTTTAAGTTTGTAAGACAATTTCTTTGCTTTGTTTAATATAATCAAGTATTTACTTTAATCTTTCTTTAATCTTTTTTTTAATCATAATTAGCATCCTTTCTCTTTGTGATTTGGTGTTAAACATGATTATAAGTGAGTAATCATCTTAGGGTTTCTAGATGTGGTAGATTAGGAGGATTTAAGGCTTGATTAAGGCTTGTTATGTGATTCATTTCATGGGTTCCTCTCTATTAATCTGTTATTCATGCTAGATTAGTCTTGATCAAACTTGTCTAAGTTGTTACCTTTCTCTTATGCCCACCAAATGTTTGATAATGTTGATCATGTTTAATAGAGGATTTGTTGGCCTTGGCTCAAGAGATTGACTGTTTGAGGAGCATTTTGACTTGAATAGAGTTGTTTGATCATGCTTGCTTGATGTTTTAGCACTAATGAGAGTTAGTTCTTGTTAGAATGTTTAGCAAAGGGTTATTTGCCAAGAGATTGGATCTAACTAGCTTAATTGTGAACTCTATGTCTAGGAATCACCATTGCTTGCTTACTTGCTTGATCAATGTAGTTTGAAACAGCCTTAGTTAATGTCTGAAATTCCCCAAAGTCAATAACCACATCTAGGAACTTGTCTTTCTCTTATTTAAATCTCGGATTTGCTCTGTTTTGCTCTGTTTTACTCTGTTTTTCTTGCTTAGAACTGTTTAGTTTGCTTTTGCTTTCACTTTGTTTGCTGCTTGTTTCACTTAGGTTGCTAGAACTGTTGCTTAGGCAACAAAACCAATTTTCTGCTTGCTTGACTTAGAGATTTCACTTTCAACTCTTCTGTTTTCAACTCTTCCCAATGGATTGACATAAAACCCTTACTACACCGACTAGTGCAAGGGTGATTGAACCAAGGGGTCGAAAAACCTTGTGTCAATGTCTTCTTGAGGAATCTCCACTATATGTCTCACCCTAACCTGCAGACAAAGGTAGAGACAAATCACTTCAATAGAATATACAGAGATATGTCTGCCACAACTAATACTCTACCAAATATATACGTCTATCAGTAATACTTAAAAGTCTACCACGACGTACATAGGTCTAATACAACATACAATCTAAAAATCAACTCTACCATCAATTAAAATCAAATCTACCCTTAGTGAAATTTATATGTACCATCTTAAGCACAATTATCATAATATTTCTACCATAACTAAGGCTTTAACTCTACCAACATACCAAAATTTGTAAGGAAACATACCTTCTTCTCTTCGGTTCTACTTCTTTCTTCCTCCAAAACTTTCTCAAGAATGTATCTGCCCCTACTCGAACTCCACCGAAGTAGAGGACATGGCAAAATAAGCGGATTGTTCTCAAGTTTGCCAAATTTTTCTCCCAATATTGGAACTGACTCATAAAACCCATATAAGCAACCCTTGCACACATCCATGGTAGGTGTAGTTATTTCCACCTAAAGATACAACTTTGATGGACAAAATCATCTCCTTAAAACTGACCCACCCCCATGGATAACTCTTAAAAGCTTCGTCATCAATTACTCTCTTCGCACAGTCTAAAGGAAGTCGACTATTCCGATTAATATCAAATATCCCAACATGCAGTATGAACAGCAACGTAAGCATCTTCTTCTGCTGATACGACCAAGTTTTGCATCTTCTAAATACCTCAACCAGCTCATGCCAATTTGACCCTACCCCTGCATTCACGCCAAGCTCTCCCCAGAACTCGTTGTAATCTATGTCCCACGGCTCGTCCCCAATGGGCTGACAGTTGAGCCTGATTATCTCTTCAAACTCGTGGAGCGAAAACCACACTGGACGCTCGTCGATAAGTGCCCATATCTCGTAACTTCGGTCAATAGCCAGTTGATTTGTTACCATGTTATGGACTATTTTGGCGGTCCATATGTACGTCTTCTCTGAAAGACTTAATACCACTCATACTTGAGAATTGTTCCCTATGTCATTGTAGATATCCTCGCCAACAGCTTCCTTCAACATCCCAAAATCTGTCAAATGGCAGTATTTGTTCAAACTCCTCTTCTGAACAGGAGATTTCCCTGGGGGAAACAATCGAGATGGGTATTTCAGATTCTCCTCTCGTGAAGACGCCATCAACTGAGCTGCAAAAAATTATATATAAATTCATAAACAAGCCTACCCAAAAACAAACAACTACCAATAAATCAAACTTATCAAGTCTACCACCAAAACTAAAGTAAGTCTCTATGTCATCCATTAAGTCTACCATCAAAACGCGACAACCATCAACTCCACCAACAAGTCTACCACAACAACTTATCAAGTCTACCACCACAAAAATAGTTATACATTAAGTCTACCACGAAGCGCTTCAATCATCAAATCCACCAACAAGTCTAGCTTCAAAAGTCTAACTTAACAAGTCTACCACAAAAAAAACCATCAAGTCTACCACCAAAAACCATCAACTCTACCACCAAAAATCATCAAGTCTACCACCAAAAACCACTAAGACTTACCATCTATCAATTCTACCACCATTCACCAAAAGTTCAACAAATCTACCATCACACTAAACCATCCATAAAAGAACAACCACATGTCAGGTTACCTTTCTCTATCCTGACCGGATTCCGCCCTTATCCCCACTAGATTTTGCCTTTATCCTCACCGGATTCCACCCTTATCCTCACCGTATTTCGACCAAATAGAATGTAATTGTGCGGTTAGACAATTAGAGTCTACCCTCACATCATCGACTATATCAGAACAAATCTACCACATGACACCTAGGTTTTACCGCGATAATTCATCCGGTTACCTTTTTGCGGTTCAATTCTCAATTATCACCGGATTCTGTAGTTGTACTCGTCGTTCTACTGCAAATAAATAAGAATCGACGGTTCACAGTCACCATTAATCCAAAACTTTTTTTAATTTGAAACCACTTTCGAGTTTAATCGTGAATCCACTACTCCGATAACACCCTAGATCTACAAAAAATCGACTTGAATCGAAGATGAAACAACTTACTCGAAACAAAAGAGGTGCTGTCGTCGCTGCTAATGAGATGCCGCCGTCGTCTCTAACAATATGCCACAAACGAAACCTTCCACCGTCACAGCAAAGCAAAAGTCTGCCACTCCAGAATCGCCCGTCGCAGAAGAGAGATCTAGGGTTTCCGTGGCAGCGAGTTTTTTTTGGTTTAAGCAAATGATTTTTTTTCTATTCTTTCTTTAATATTTCTTATTACAATTTTAATATTTCTTTTAATCTTATTTTTTCCAGAATTACTGATTTATTTTATTTTTATTTTTAATTACTGAATAATCATATCTAAATTTGGGCATTATCGATAATCTCCACCCCGTTAACAGACTTTCCGACGGTAGGCCTGTTTTCAAATATGGCATATTTATTTTGGCACCTTCCAAATACTGGAGATATGACAGATTTCCCATAGTTATTGTGGTACATCTGGAAAATACAGAATGAAAAAATATTTTCAAATATTGATCGGGACCCCCGAGAGGTAGTGCGTTTGGCATCAGCTGAGGCGGAGTGTTGGGTGGCTGCACAACAAGACACTCCAGATGATCTCCCACCAGCATTCGATCGGACAATCACCCACATAGATGGATTAACATGTCAAACAGATGGGTCTTGGAAACAATCCAGTCCCAATGTAGGATTGGGTTGGTTTTGCCAAGGGCTCGGAGAATTGGGACCCCTAATGGGTGCACGTAATGTACATCGTAGTATATCAGTTCTACATTCAGAACTAGAAGCTCTGATCTGGGCAATGCATAATATGCTAGATGCAAAAAGAACTGAGGTGACCTTCCTCACTGACTGTTCTGATTTGGTGAAGATAGTGTCTAATCTAACGGAGTGGAGTGGCCGGCATTTACTCTACACCTTTATGTGAATCTAAGTGGAGGTGACCTTCCTCAAGTTCTTGTTAAATATATATTCAGGGCATTAAGGTGTATCTAATGGTACTGGAGAAGGAAACTCTTTCACTCTTTATGTGAATCTAAGTGGAAATCAAACCTTGAAACCTTATGAAAAGATTTTTGTCCGAGCCAAGCTGCGAGTTTTGGAAAAAAAACCATCTCGAGAAACAAAGTAAGTTTTCTAAAAGTTATAGAATTAAATTTTTTATATATAAGATTTAATATTTAACATAAATATTTTTTTTTATTTTTGTTCTTTACAGTTCTATCGTGGTTCGATACCCCGGGAGAAGGTTCCGGCTTCGAGAAATTCGTGTCTTTGTCTGATCTCCGGAATCCAGCAAGAGGTTTCGTCGTCGATGATGGCATGATGCTATGTCCGTCCAAGTTCAGTTCGACGCGCTCTCATCTACGCTCAATTTATGAGTATTTTCTGAATGTTTATCTTGTCGGATCGTTAAAATAAGAGGCTTCGCGTGTATGCAAAGCGAAAAAAAACAAAAAAAGATTGAAATGTTTCAGATTTAGGGTTCACTTCCCCATATCTCTATGTTCTTTGTTTCAGAATCTTCTTTGTATCTCGTTTATTATCTTTTTGGAAAACGTCTCGGTTGTTATCTTTTTTTTTTTTAATTTATTTTATCTTTTCAATATATGTGTTAAGTTTAGCTTGAGAAGTATATATATCCCACAAGAAGATTTTTGTGAGGATTCGCATGCATGGATGCAGTTGTTGTACGTACTTGACTACATGAATATGATGTTACTGGAAATCGAGATTCGTTCGTTTATTATCTACGAAAAAAACTGACAAAATAAGAGAGACAAAGCTGCCAATACATAAAAAGGTAAAATAGGAAAAGAAAGATTTCGAATGAAAATGATCAAAAGACTCTATTTGAGCTAGTGGCTCTGAACAAGATTTAAGCATGAGCATGGTGAAAATGGTAGAGATAGTGTTGGTTGTTGAAGACGCAAGTCCAACAGGTGCTGTTTACGTTCCCAAAGCTTGGCTCCTTTGGCATCGTCAATGGTCTGCTCGATCTATACCCAAAACATTTATTTAATATCAAAATTAAAATTTCAGATTGATAAATAATATGAATAGTCTTTTCGTTTTACTATAAAATTCGTTTTAGGACTAAACTAACCTCTGTGGGAGGAAAGGTCGGTCGAAGAAAGGCATCAATTGAGCTTTTGGAACCATTTCCCTCCTCAGCATACGAATCTCTTCCTTTTCTATCATCTGTTCCACGGTTCAGTTTAATAACAAAACATGGTTTAATCTTGATAATCTTCTTAAACCCGAAATTAAACGAGTTCCAAATAGTAATCTCACTCTTATAGTTGAAGATTTTCCATTTACATATGTGTACGGTTAATGGTGTCAGCAAGCTTAATTTGCATCAATTTTAGTATCTTTATTTGAAACGATATAATTCCGATTTAGGCATAAAACAAATTAATTTTTTAATTTTGGTTCATCGATAAAGTCCTGTAGTATGTTCGTAGGTTTCATCCTAAGTGAGACTGAAAACCAGTCAGATTATGGTTAAGTTTGTTCTCTATCTTTATAGTAATTAAACATTGTTTGTAAATTACCTTCTGCAACCTCTCTTCTTGTTTTTTCTGCAGTTTTGTGATGTAATAATTAGTTGCAACCTGCGAAGTTGATAAATGAGCTAAATGGATGTTGAAAAAAGAGATGAAATATTAATGAATATTGAGAAAATGTGTAAACCGAATAGTTGAACATGGCACGTTTCACTGCTCTCTCGCCAGAATGAAGCTTGAACTCTAGTGGCTTTTTGTTCTCTTTTGCTGGTGCCTTTGCAACATTCTGATCAACAAAAAAATCAATAATTCCATGCATGGATAATTAGCTAATGGTAAAACTAAATAAATACAGTCCGTAGAACCGTACTTTAGTATGTGCAAACTGGTGAATTTGAACAAGATCTAATTACTTAAGAGAAATATTACAATATATTTTTTAATATATATATAACCCATGAATTGTTTTTCATTTTATGCGTTAAAGATACTGTAATCTATACATGGGATACCTTAGCTGCAGCTGCCTTGGTTTTGTCATGTGCTCTGTCTTTGAGTTCCACTTTGGTCTACACTTAATTTTTCAGCGAATTATTGAAGAAATCAAATCATTGTACGAGCATTTACATTAAGCTATATTCACACTATAACGAAATACATGTACTTTTTGACGTATTATTTCACAACTTTTGATCGAGAAGCTCACGTCTCAGACATAATAGTAGAACGTCTCAGTGTGTACTATTATTTCCTTTTTTTTTTTTAATAATCTGCAGCTATTAATTAACTAGTTATTATTGAAAAGGTCAAAAAGGAATGGCAACCTTTCAAGATTTATTAGCTTGTAATGATCACTATCCGAGGTGGCATTAAAAACACTAGAAAAAAATTGGGATTAGCCCTACAAAATTCATAGTTCCTTATTACTAATTTACTACTATTTTCTTATTACTTCAAAATGGTAACTCTCAATAGTAAACTGAAATTTATTTTTGAAACTGGGATAATTTGTTACTTTTTAAAAAGAAAGTGTGACTGGTATATCCGCTAGGAGTAAAAAGGTAAATAAAGAAAAATGTAGAATTTCAGATAAAAAGGAAAAAGCTAGAGTTGTTTTTTCCATAATCTAATATTTAGATGGAAAGAAATACAGATACATTTTTTTTTCTCCCAAGGAAAAAGTGTTTTCTTCTTGACTAGTAAAACTGGCTGTATTTTGTCCACGTGCATGAGATACTATAAAACTAACAGCCAATTATTTTTTTTTTCTTCTGATATTTTATTAACCTTAGAAAGAAAACAGAGTGAGATACAAGGGTGAGATACAAAACCGAACAGCCAATTTTTTTACTTAAAAACATTATTGGCGGAAATTATTGTTTTTACTAAAAAAGCTTTATTTAGCATATATGCACTTATTTTCCGTTGACAAAAAAAAAAACTTATTTTCCATATTATAAATGATTCTTGTAGGCCAAACATACAAGTTCCAAATTAGTCATGAATCGAGACTTAGGCTAATGTCAAAATTTGAAGACATTATGGTCAGCACTATTATCACTCACAAAAAAAAGATCGTGTAACAGCATATGAAGAAAATATATATCCATCTCACCGTTCCTTTACCGTTGGAACCCAGCACAGAAGAAGTAGGGCTTGTTTTCCCAAACTTTCAAGAACAAGAAAAAAGAAACAAAAAAAAAACTTTGTCAGTTTAAGTCTCTTTGATTTATTTAAATGTAAACTATTATTACACACGTTCCCACATTTATGTACACATGCGAAATATTTATGTGCAATGTGTATATACACGAAAGTCGCACCGAAAGTAGCCAATAGTTACGTTGTACAAAACAAAAGTAACCAGTTATTAAAGAAGTAACTGTAGTAGATACTACCAAAAGGAAAAAAATAATAATCAAAAAGTAACTAATTATTGAACAACCTTGGGTGAGGATTTTGCGTGTGATGATTTTCCAGTACACATGTTTAAGAGAAGAGATATGTATTTAATATCTTTAAAAGTGGTTGTTAAGAACAGTGTTTTAAGAAAAATAACTCAACCAAAAGCCAAATTTCTTTACAAACTCTTTTATATTTAAGTCACAACTTAAAATGAACTCTAAATTAAGAAGAAGTAGAATAAAAATATTACTTGATGAGTGAAAGGATAAGAGATGAAGTGATCAATTTATAGAGAGCGAATGACGAGGCAAAAAACACATACAAGTTTGGGCATTAGTAGCTGTCTGAAGTGGCGTCTGTTGCTGCATCAGCAACAAGCATTATAATTAAGGTTTCTTCATTATTTTCTTTGTTATTGCCAAAAGAATAATGTTTCAAAGTGAAAATAGATGTCTCAGTAGAATTCTATACGTAATTTGAAGTCAATATATGTAATTCACTGTATTAATTTTATTTTTGGTTGTATCGGAACTTACATCATACTGAGTTGAAATCTTTATATAACAATAAACCATTTAAGTTTTTATATTAATAACATTTTTTATGATATGTAATAACAATATTCTAAAAAAAAATTGATGGTGGAATTTTTTAAATGATTAATTATCTATTTCTTCAATTAGATCTAAGTGAATTTGAGTCAAAATTCAGTATTAGAAAATTTAATAAAGAAATTCGTATTATTATTAAAAACAAAGAATGAAAAACTGAAAAAAAAACGTTACAAAATCATTGGATGTGTTTTGGTAAGTGCATTTACATCCATTTACAACTCTATGAATACCGGAACTTATCCGTGTGAGCATACATAACGCGGTTCTCCTAACCACTCACTATACATGTGCCACCATAGATCTAGCAAACTTATATCGATTGTAAGTATATATAAATTGTAACTAATAACTCTCAGTCACCTGGATACTTATTTTAAGGTCGGTTAATATGAGATGAAAGAACTAATTTGAATCATCTAATTGTTATTGTAACAAGTGCAACTATGCTTGTAAACAATATATAGCCGTATAGTAGCCGGGAGTATATTTCATATTTGATCGAATCCAAGATTCTCGAAATATATATTTCTAAGCTACTAACAGTATCATATTTTTGTACTTTCAAAACATATTTCTCGATTTCAGAATGATAAGCAATTAAAATAGTGTTAAGCTGATAATGTAGTCCGACAGAAAACAAATGGTAGAGCTCTCATGCACCAAACTTTCTGATTAAACTTCTCACTCATTCATCTTTGTAATTTTCCTAGCATCCTTCACATTCCTTCACATCTCATCTTTGGGATTTATAAATATTTTCAATTATTTTATCATACGTGTTAATCGTTCACTAATTTCTCGTTGTTAATTAGAAGATGTTTTATTTTGTTTTCCCTGAATTAACTTGATATCTCGATGACCATTCTAGATGGGAGGAGAACTAGTTAGGTCGGTTGTCCATTAGAAAATCAGAAAAATAATACTCGACTATATAGTGTACAACCTAAATACATTATTTAAAAAACTCATTGCTACTAAATATGTAATCATTTGACATTTCATATCGCATTTAAGTAGTATCCCTTTTAATTTATGTGAAATATAGGTTCACACAATGTCGAGCTTAGATAAACAGAGCAAGGTACGTAACTTTAGAGAATTTTTTTTTTTTTTTTTTTGGAACATTAACGTTTGAGAATTTGCAAACGAAAACTTCAACTCGTAACCATACAGAAACAATAATGAAATCTATGACATGTATGATCGGAAAGCAGATCACAATAGCAATAAATTGTTCTTCATTGGTGAAGATATTATTCATGCCAGAAGTTTGATATAGACACATGAATGAGTTTATAAGAAAATAAGAATTTTTTCTTTCTTTTTCTCTTTCTCTTATTCCATGCAATTCAAATTTTAAAGCCGATTGTTTGGCAAGATGTGTTAGATTGTATTCGTGTTGAGACCGATTTTACCCGCCCAAAAAAAATCCGACATGTAGAGGTTAGACTGTTCCAGATACTGACGGACACCACGCTAGTTCGGCCAAACCAGTCCTGCGTACAGTTCATGAGCAATTGGCAAGCTTATAAGAAACATCATCATCACCTGCTCCTCTAGCGCATCGAATAGAGAGGACAGGACACAAAGATTGGCAGTATAAAAGGAGAGAGGTCACCACACAAGAAAGAGATCGGATCGGTGGGCCGGAAAACCCCTCTTAGCTAGGGAGGAGGTAACCGACTAAATCCGAATCAGTTGGTCCCGACGTGCAGCACGATCACGGGAGAACTCTTTGTTCCCTCGGGTGAACGCCCTTCAGAATAAGTCCTTCCTAACTTGGAATCTTGCCTTTATATTAGCTACATCTTCCCCCTCCGCATAGAATACCCATCAAAACAATCGAAAACAGATAGTAGTTTCGATCCCCGGACGAGATTTCTCACACCTAATCCGTATAGAACCCCCTCCTGAGTACTTGTTACCGGTAGGACGTTCATTGATTTGGGCGTCGGAGAACCTTTGGAAGAGAAACCCCTTTCCGGTCCACCCGAAGGCCCGATTGACCACTGATGTAGTGTTTGCAGGATACCGCATTACGACCACCCCGTAACCAGGACTCAAACAGGCTTCCGCCCCAAACGACTCGTCGCCTTTCCTCCCAGAGGATGAAATTCGGAGGCACAACTCCACCCCCTGGACGAATCACACACCCCCACGTGGCATCCCGAAATTTGCTCCCAAACAGTTGGCGCTAGAAGGAAGGGTATCACCGGCGAGCATTTCACGAAGAAAGCGGTCTACACGGGCTAACCATGCGGAAAACATAGAAGGCCCGCAGGCGTGGTTCTACTCGACAAGACTCAAGGCTTCGAACCCATCATGCGTACTGGTCCCGAAGCCGAGAAGTCAGATCCACAAAAAATAAAGTAAAATACGGAAGAAGCGCGTAAAAGACAGAGATGTATGAAGCAAACTGAAGTGCATTTAAAAAAAAGGAGCAAACAGGCCAAAAAATGGCCACCGATCCATGTTCGAGAGTGAAATTTACAAGGGACAAAAGTCCCCGAAATAAGACATTTTAATTTAAAAACCTGGCGGGCGTGAAGATCCCGACGGTGAAGATGGGCCCGCGCCTCTTGCGCCTCCTGCCGCCCCCCCGATGTGCTCAGCCCCTGCGCTCAGCTCCGCCACCGTTCCTCCTTGAGCTCCGCCTGAGCATGCGATCCTGGCTTGGCTGCTCGTAGAGACCTTAGCTGCCATCAACGCTAGGTCCGTCTTGGTCCCGGGAGTGAACCCCCGATATACCATGAGGGTCTGGCGGAGCGTTTGCACCTCCGAGTTGCGAGCCTCCACGTTCCACTAACTATCCACTAGTGTTAAGGACAGGCGCTCCATCTCCGCACTTAGATCCTCCCCGCGGGCGGAGGTCTGGGACTCGGCGAGTTGGTCCCGGGTCATCAGGAGTTTGGCCTGGAGTTCACTTGTCCTATCTGCGAGGCCTCGTTCCCGATGCTGGGCCGTGGAGCTCGTGTTCCAGCTTCTCAAGCTAGCTTTAGCTCTGTCAACAGCACAACGACGAGTAAGAGACAAAGAACCAAAAAGCAAAGAGGGAGGAAGTTCCGAAAAAAATAACTTACTGCGTCCAGCGATTGCGTGAGCTCCGAGGCGGGTGAACTCGCGGGTTGAGGTAGCGGTCGGACGCGAAGGTACGAATATCGGTTCAAACTCTGAGGAGACGCTCATCGCATTCGGCGAGTCCGGCGCAGTGGGAAGCGGAGTGGCAGCTTGCATGGCCCTGGACCTTTCGATGGTCCCCAGGTACACAGGGGCATCAACTTCCCTTGGAGCCCCACCACTGGCAGAGGAGTCAGACTCTGAAGAGGTGAGTGCAGGGCGGACAGGAGAAGGCCCGAGGGACCATGTCGCCCTCACCACGGGAGACCCGGTAAGGCGCCTCTGGTGCGAAAGCCGAGACAAAGCCTCCCCTTCAGGGGAGTTAGCTCGAGGTCTCTGGTACGGCTTCTATACGGGTGTCCTTCGTGCGACCTGCATAAACCATGAATTGGGCAAGCGGCCGTGCGGGACATAGAGGTCTCAGATCTTTGCGATCCGGTCTCGAGAGCCTGCCAAAGTAGAGTCAGTAAGCAAAGATCTGCAGGGCTAGCGTAGGGTCAGAAGCAGAAGAGCCATGATCATTACCTGGGACGTCTGGCGTCATGCGGGACGGAAGGATGAGAGAGCTCGCCTCGATGCTCGTCGGTGAGAGAAGGAAGTCGACCTGAACCGGTTTTGTTGGACTTGCTCGTTCTCCGGGACACTATTCCTCCCTATATCTCCCTATCTCCCTCCTCTTAAGCACGCTCTTCCATGGACTTGCTCGTTCTCCGGGACACTATTCCTCCAGGGAATTCAGGACTCCAGTCCATCAGGCCTGATGAAGACATACACGACGAACCGGACTTAACCGAGCCTCAAGTAATAGAAGTACCAACCGGAGCTATGACTAGAGAAAGAGGAAGAGTACTACAACATAAGTATAATCAGGTCATCATGTTAGCTGCCCATCAAGCTGATGATCAAGAACTTCAAGAACATATTAAAGCTAGCCAAGGCCCACTCAGAGTTAAAGAAATTCAAGAAACATGGTCTTTATTCTACAAAGCAAGCGACTACAATCTCTTTGTTGTTTCAAGCAAAGCCGAAGACCCATAAGAGATTTATCATCACAGTCAAAGGGATTAAAGAGGTAAATCATTCAAGACATAAACCACATTTGCAAGGTAAGTGTTTATCACTATTTTTCATCACATTTTATACTAATGATTTCGTCCTCTTTTGCAGCCTAGTTAGTCGTTAATTTACATTAGTATTCAATGTAATTTTCTTATGCATTTATGTATTTTTATTTTCTTTCTTTTATTGCTTTTTGGCTGAAGAACCAGTTTATAAGATTCTATATGCAGCTTGTAATATTCTCAACTTTTGATTATCAATAAAATACCAAATTTCTTCAAGAATTGTTCTTGAGTTTTGCTCTTTGTTTTGGGAGACCAGTTCCTCCAAAATATTAAGAGTTTTCGTATTGTATCAAGGAAATTATCATAGCCCTTGTGGTACACTTCATTCCACCTCCGGTTCAATATCATCGTTCCATACTCGATCCACCGGTCAGACCGTCCGAGCATCTCGTACCGCCG